CCTGCATTATCTGTGGGCTTGGTGTAGATCTGAGGTAGACCTAACTTAGAAGAAAATATTTGCTTGAGCCCACGGTTGGCTTAAGTTATAAATGACCATCCCTAAAAAAATATTTTTATATAGAATGCAAATGGTTTATTTTATTATTTTTTATTATTAATTTTAATTATCTTATTAATATTAATGATATTTAAATAGAACTAAATTGTATTTTAGTTTTTATTAGAACTACTAATTAATTTTTATTAATTTCTTAACTTTTAACAGTTGATAGATAAAAACTTGCTAAATTTTAATTTTTTATTAACTTCAATAGTTTTTATTAATTACAGTTATTAGGTTTCAAATTATATATAGATTACTATTATTATTATTATTAGGGAAAATTCCACTTTGGTACCTTGAACTTTGGGGGTAGTGTCAAGTTAATACCCGAACAAAAAGTGTCATGTTGGTCCCTGGCTCCCTACCATTAACTGACCATTAGTTATCTGTTGAAAGTGTCAAAACTACCCTTCAAAAGAAGACACTATTCATTGTTTTCTACCTTGGGATTGAACTAGTTATCTTCAAAGAAAAAGAGAAAAAACATGAAATATGATAGAGGGAAACAATAACCGAAAGCAAAGAAATAGCTAGATAAGAATGTGTTTCGGATCTAAAGGTAGAAGACAATGACTTCATTAGTCTAGAATCTCAAACAACTTAACCAGTTTTGTCTCAACTATCAAGGTAGAAGATAATGAATAGTGTCTTCTTTTGAAGGGTAGTTTTGACATTTTCAACAGATAACTGACGGTCGGTTAATGGCAGGGACCAACTTGATACTTGTTAAAAGTTTAGGTACTACAGTGACACATTTGAAAGTTCAAGTACTAACTTGACATTGCCCCCAAAGTTTAGGGTACTAAAGTGGAATTTTCCTTTCTTATTCTTATTCTTATTATTATTATGTGTTAAAATATGTTGTATTGTGTATCACATGTTATGGGTTTCTAAACGAAATGTGACCATTTTCAAAAATGGGTCAAATAGACCCATTTAGCTTGTCTTTTTCGTTTGAGTGATAAAACATGTTCTACATTTTAAATTTTCATTAATTTTTATTTTTATATCATTTTTAATGGGTCCTCTATTTTACATGGTTTTCAAAACTGGACTGGACTGGACAGTCGGACTACAAAAATCGGGAACTGATCAGGTCAGGTGACCGGTTCCATTTTTTCCCAAAACCGGATTTTCTCAAAAACTATTGATTTTGGTTAGCAAACTACTGACTCGGGTGGTTAACCGTTCGAACGGTTTTGACCATTTTTTATTTTTTTTTAAATTTTATTTTTTTTTGTCATAATGGGTCGACCTTTCAGTTCGAAAGGTTAGACCGTTCGACCCAGTAACCAGACCCCTGGCCGGTTTGGTCTCTGGGTCGGTTTTAAAAACCATGCTATTTTATATAAGCCTTTTGTGTAGTATGGGCACTAGGGGTGAGCAAATGGGTAGGTTCTACCTAGAACCGAATGGAACTGACCTCAAACCGGCCTTGAACCGACCCTACCTAATCTATTATAGGGAGGGTCTGGTTCCAAATTCTTGGAACTGACCCCCATCCAAGTCGGTTCCAGGGTCTAGGGGTTTACCCTACCCAAACCAACTTGATGAACCGGCCTTGGAACCGAACTTGCCTTGAAATAAACCCCAAAATATTTTTAAGTATGTGAAAATTTGAGCTCAAATCCTCATGGTTGCAAAGCCATGGTCTCACTTGACCATTGAGTTACTTAAGTGATTTGTTCATTTTGTTTTCATTTTAATATTTGTATGTGTACGATAAATAATGTAAAAGGTAATATTTACAAAATTTAAATTGTAAAGACATATTTTCAACCATATATTAATATATTATGATAATCCACATATTAAATTACTCAATTTAATCAATAAAGATAATATAAGTTTTAAACTATATATTATCATTATTGGAAAGCAAGTTTTTGAATGACATATTTCATTTTTTCTTGAAGGGGGAGAGTAAAGAAAGAACAGGTTCCATGGGTAGACCCTAGAACCGACCCCAAAACCACTAAGGCCAAAACCAACCTTGGAAGTTGGAACTGACCCCAACAAGGTAGGTTCCAGGTTCTGCCATAGAATTGATTCGAACCAACCCATGCTCACCCCTAATGAGCACTATACACAATAAAGTCTCAACTCATAAAAATTATTAATTTTAACAATATTATTAATTAATTAATTAAAAATACATTAGTACAAAGTTATCCAATAAAATAAAAATAATAAATAAAACAAATACAATATTAAAATATGGGTTCTATTTGCAATATATCAAACCCATGTTTTTCTTATGAATGTGTGTCGAACTCTTGTTTAAATCATAATATTATTAAAACTATCAATTAATATTTTTTTTTGTATTTAAATTTCTTATTTTTACTAGTGTTTATTAAGTTTGATTTTTATGTGGAATTGAAATATTTTTAATATTTATTAGTTTTAAGTGGAAGTTTAGTGGGTTTTTTAATTAATAATTTTTAAAAGGGCAAATTTCTTAAACTACCCCTAAGGTTTAGGAAATTGACTAACTATACCCCTACTGTTTTAGTATTGTCTTAAAGTACCCCTAATGTTTATGACAATTGACTAAATCTTCCTTACCATAGCATATCTGTTAATGGGAGGATTAAAATGACTATTTTGCCCATAATTCTTATTTAAAATTTCAAGAATAGGAAGTAAATTACTACTTTGTCTCCATCTCCCAGTCTGCCTCCGTCTATGTCTCCTTCTCCATCTTTGTTTTCCATCGGTCGCGCTCGCATCTACCATCTCTTCAATCATACACTATCCACCACTGATAAATCTAAGAGACCATCTCTTCAACCGTCCACCGCTCATGCTAGGTAATGGTGGGGTTCATTTCTACAGCTCGTGTTGGGTAATGGTAGGGTTCATTTCTATAACACCCCTACAAGTACCTCTACAAGTCTTTAAGTCTTGGATTCACTCCCTTGCAAGCTGGCAGAGCGATTGGAAGTGCCAGTGGTGGCGGGATGGTAATTGAAGGGAAGGGAGATCCATGTAGTGTGGCTGGGCAAAATTTCAAAAACTTTCTTTCTCCCTTCCGGGAATCGTAATCCCAATTTTAGAAAAATTGCATTTTTCAATGATCGTTCTTGATCACAATCGGACCAGATATAAAACCAAAATAAGAGAGAGCAATACTTGATATGGAATCCACAAATGTAGCTCCCAAAGTAGGTGTTCACGCCCAAAGAGGGTACCAAAACCTGCCTCCACTGAAGATGGGTGCAGCTTGAGATGAAGCAAGATTAGCAATGCAGTCCCTCAGCAAGAACTGCAACCCTTCAGCAAGGATCAAGCAAGGGAGGTGAGCACGAATTCAGATTTGATTTTTCTTGCAAAAATCAGAATCAAAATCCAATCTTGATCGGTCCAAGAATGGAAATCGAACAGGGTATATGGCGGCAAGAGAAGGAGAGGGAGAACTAAAAGCACTGTGTAACCTTTTTGCAGTTTGCCCTCCTCTATTTAAATAGCTCTTAAAGAACTTATCTCCTAATCTGATTAGAAGTTTCCTAATCCAAATCTTTATTTGCATCTAGACTCTTTAAGTGGATAAGACTTATCCTCTTATCCCTTATCTACTGATCCAAACCCATATATAATTCTTCCATATTGATTAATCATATTAATCTTAGGCGCTAGTCCCATTAAGTAAGTGGGCTCACTTTCCCTTTTAATTGTTGGCTAACTTGACTCTCTTTGTATGGTGTGGGACCCTAACATTGATCTTCACAAAATCCACATGGGTTCAGCCTAGCCATTTTTACAAGGCCTGGCCGAATTCATTGCTGAACATAGCGAACCCCTGAGTCCATCAACATGGGCTCTTAATGGGCCCAACATTTACACTAAATGGTCATTGAGTCCAGCCACCTTATGAAGGCCCAAGGACTATGGTCTTAAGTGAGATTAGCCCATCAAGTATAAAATCTTTAAATGGTCTTACACTTAACCTCTCAGCCCATAATGATCAAACACTACCCGACAAGAGATGACCTCTCCCTCGGCTGCAAGGTATAGTGTCTCACTCTCTGTTCGGATGGATCCCGGGAATTAAAACATTTGCAAACATTTTTCATAAAAACATTATATATATATATATTGCAAAACAAATCTCAAACAAGTTTGAAATCAATTACGGACTGTTTAGGTTTCCATCGGAGAGAGTACAATCCTCGATCATTCACTTTGTCCGACAAAGGGGATGATTCTATCACTATGATCACCCACTCAGGCAAATTCTCAAACTGTCTCAATATACCTAGATTTTGACCCCCGCTAAGGATCTCACTGATTGACATATCAAAGACAACCCAATACAACACCCAGTGTAGTACCATAATCGAGTCTAGGGGTTAGGTTTAACTTTCCAGTTTTGTCCACCAGTTTCCAAAGTCCAGGGCATAACTGGAAAATGGTCCAGGTTCAGTGTTTTAAGTAAACAAGCACTACATGTGCTTCGGGTCTCACCCTGGCAGCTGAGACAAGCTACCCCAACCGGCTTGGCAGCACATTAATGTTAGCCTTGGCAGGATAAACCTCTCTAAGTCTATCTAACGGCTGAGAACATTCTAAACTAACACGAATCTCACAAATGTCTAGTTTAAGGGTAATTATACAGAAACACACCAGATATAATATGAATCAATTATATACTTTTATTCATTTACAATAAATGTCTAATCTATATCAATATGATTGGAGCTAACGGTATACATTGTCTAACATTAATTTAATGTTATTTTCTGATGAAGGGGAGGTAGAAGATTATACATTGTCTAACATTAATTTAATGTTATTTTCTGATGAAGGGGAGGTAGAAGATGTCAGAATTTAATAATAAAGGGAGAAAAGAAGTGTCGTGAACCGAAGAGAGAGAGAGAGAGAGGTGGGTGATTCAAAGGGTAAAAGGAGAAGTGGGTATGTGGGCGGTGATAATGGTGTTGATGTGTTGTTGATAGGAGGAACGAAGGAGGTAGAGGGGGAGGATACAACCTTCTCCGTACGATGTCCTTTTTCTTCTCCTTCTTCCTCTTCCCCCCTTTCTCCTCTATCTTTGGATTAACTAAAATGACTAACTCCACTGTAAGTTGCAGCGGCAGTGATGATCTTCTCTTTCTCACTCTCTCACTCTCTTTCATTCTTTCACCTGTTCTTGTTGCGGCAATGATAGAGGTAGGGGGAGCTGCGGTAATACTGAAATGGCTTCCCCTGTCTTACCGAAATGGTTTGCTAGAAACTCCATTTGGCTTCTCTGTGTTCATCAGCTAATTTGTGAGTTCATGATGTTATAGAGTTTCAAAGTGGAGCTCAGGGCACCGGGACCATGGGTTGGTGATGAGCAGCACACCAAGTGGCCACTTCAAGCTCAAAACCCCCTCTTAGTCTTAGGATTTTGACTATTCAAATACCAACAACAGGGTAAGTAATGCCCTCTCAAATTTTGCAACTGAGTTTTTTATATCAGTGGTATCATCATGACCAACATGACCAACTCTCTTATTGTGTGACGCCACTAATTGCATTATAGAGGCCGATCTACCTTTTTGGGTCTGACCAAGTACCTGATTCTTGGCAGACTGCATCTTGGCTACATCTTGAGGTGAGACGGATTTGGCTGCAAGTTCCCTAGAAACTGAGAATACATCTTCATACTTGACCTAATAACAATTGGGGAAGAACTCAAAGCAACGACGGTAACAGTGAGAGATATTCCGGTCGTTAAGAGTGATGTTGCTACTACAATCCAAGCAGTAGAATTGAGAGCCATAGTGGATACTATATCATCAGGAGATGTCATCGTTGCTGCTTAATCAGTAGGTATTGTGAATGCAAAGACTGTGTGCCATGAGGAAAGGATTAAGCTAGGGATGTTCTCATGGTAAGTAATTTTGTCATTAAATAGTAGATGAATATAAGAGATGTGAATATTTGTTTTTTATCACACAGGATGCAGCGATAAAGCCACCAAGAGACATACCGCTTTTCCCTAAAAATGGTAGAGCAAAGCTTGTCGGATTGATAGAAGTGAGAAAGAAAGGAGAAGAAGAGAAAGAAAGAAAGGGAAGAGGGTGACTACTAGAACGTGAAAGAAGGAATCGAGGCCACCCTTGCTCTGACCCTTTCTCTCTATAGGGGTTTACAGACCCTTGATCTGACCAATCACGCTGGATCTCAGTATCTCTCAAATATCATATTTGGGTTCCTTGCAAATTTGAGAGATAGTTAATAAATCTGAGATGAGTTGTAGAAGGGGAAGAAGGAGAGAGAGAGAGAGAGAGGAGGTGGAGGGGTCTGCTACTGTAATGAGTTGTAGTGGCGGTGATCAAATAGGGGAGAGAACGGATGGGAAGGAGAGAGAGAGAGAGGGGGAGGGAGGGAGCGTGTGAGTGAAGGGTAAAATTGGGTTTTAGAAAAAGTTATACATCACGTGTGTACGAAACTTGACAGAATATTAACAGATGATAATGGTAAGGGTACTGTAAGAGAGTACTAAAACAGTAGGGGTATAGTTAGTCAATTTCTTAAACCTTAAGGGTAGTTTAAGAAAATTTTCCTTTTTAAAATAATATTTTTATTTTTGTTGTTTCATGTTTGATTGCTTAACTTCAACCTATTTATATTATTTAACTAATTAATATTTTACTTTATTATGTTGTCTTACTATTCCCCCACTCTATCAGTCTCTCTATAAGAGGCCTTGGAAACCCAAAGCTCTCTCTCTTTCTCTCTTTATAATAGTGTATAACTTTATTGATCTAATCAAAATAGACAATGATTATTTTTTATATTTTTGAAACAAAAGAAAATATAAAAAATGTAAAAAATGGAGAAAATAGATAAATAACTTCTCTCAAAGAAGAAACATGCTAACATGGATCGTTCTGTTTACATGTTGTTTCTTTTGGTTTGTTAGTAGAAGCTATTTGCTTTGCTAATTAATAATATCATAGAAAAATTTGGCTAAATATTGGATCTAAAATTTTGCATGGTTAAAATAGGTAAATACTAAATACACCACGACTTCTGGCTTCTACCCTTTAGTCATTTCTGCTACACTGATATTTTATTCTCATTATTAGTTATTAATTGTTTTTTCTCACTAATTCATTATGCTAAAGTATTGATAATAATGATATGATTTGTGATTTTTTTGTAAGTACTCTAATTTTAACTTTTTATATAATTATCAGTTATGTCAATGGCTGGTAAAAGAAATAACAACAACGTTGAGCCTATTCCTATTCCAAATGTTGACATTAATGATGATGTGGATGAAAATACTAATTTGGATGCAATGGGTCTGATTCAAAAAAAAAAAAAAAAAAGATCTAGATCTTTTGTGTGGAAACAATATGAAAAAATTTCCCACTACTAGCACTTCTAAGCAAAAGGCAAAATGTAAGGCTTGCAAATTGCTTTTATCTGCTGATTACAAAGACAGGACAAGTCAATTGTGTAGGCATTTAAAAATATGTGGCAAACATCAAAATGAAGACACACTATTAAGTAGGATATTATGAATTATTACCAATTAGAGAAGAAGAAATTGTATGATTTATTGGCTTCAATCACTGGGAGAATTTGTTTGATTATATATATGTAGAAGTCTAGGGCAGCATATGAGTATTTGACAGTTACAACACATTTTATTGATGATTCTTGGAAATTGCAAAAGAAAATTATATGTTTTGAGTGTATTCCACCTCCAAAAGCCAAGAAAATAAACAAGATGTTTACAATAGACCGAAAAAGAAAAACAATAACCCCAAGAACCACAAGGACCTAAGTAGTAAGGCAAATCCCACAAAGCCTAGTCGGCTCCCCAAAAAAGAACTCGACCACCCCCAAAAAGGCTAAACAATACCTAACTAGGGAAAAGGCAAACCATGAAATAAAAAGAAGGGAACACCACCTCTCTAGTGGCTTGCAATACCCTTGCATCTGCCTCTCCTACTACAACTGTCAAACGTAGAAGTTTGCTAGTAGCTTGGCCTTCTTGCTCCCAAGAGGAAAAACCATTGGATCAAAGCCACCTCGTCAGAGAGCTTAGATATAAACCAGTCCTTGACTTGAGAATCTTACTTAGTTGGATAGGACACCTCGGGGAACTTTTCGAGACAACTTTTTATCCACCTGATCCACTATTCAACATGTGTAGAGCTAGGTTCGCCCTCATGCATATTAGAAGGAAATTCATACAACCAATTAACAGGAAAGGAAAGCTCAACTTGGGCCGAGAAGTCTTTCGGGCATTGGTGCTTCTCAAAAAGATTACCTCTCCCACAGAAAGTGGGATCGATAATCGACTCGAACTATTATCAAATGAACTTCAAGGGACCAAACCTTGGGAGTTCATAGAGCACATGGGCTTCAATCCACTCCGTGGCAGGCCTAAACAAAGATCTTGGCCTTTAGGTAGAAAAGAGTGAGTGAACGGGTTGACCCATAAGGGTTGGGTCGGGCCCATGACAAGAAACCAACCACATTGGAACCGATTGGCATTGAGCGTCTATGTGTTCCAGTGGAAAATTGTAATGCAAATGATGTTGTGAAAATATATTGAAGTGCCATTTAATGAATAAAGATGGTCTATTATGTGATGGTGTATTATGTGATGGTGATTATTTTCATGTCTGTTGCTATGCACATATATTGAATTTCATTGTTCAAATTAGGGTGAATGAGTTAAAGGATCTTGTTCTCAGGATAAGGGCTAGCATCATGTATATAAAGGTTTTAGGCCCTAGGAAGAAAAATTTAATGATACACGATATTGTTTGGATTTAAAGAGGCATATATACATTGACTGTCTCGATGAAATTCAATATACAAGATGATCCAATCTGCATTGTATTTTAGGCAAGCATTTTCTTATATAGCATCTCGTGATCGAAACTTTTATTTTGCTCCATCTCAGGAAGAATGGTTAAGTGCAAAAGATTTATGTGATTTCTTGAAGGTGTTCAATGATTCAACTAAATGTTTTTTGTCTCAAATTATTCAACTACCAATTTATATTTTTAAACAACTTTTGATACATTAAGAAATGCTTCCACCTCAAATTCATGTTGGATGATATGATTAAACCAATGTTGGAGATATTTCAAAAGTATTGGGATAGTTATAGTGTAATTTTGTCCATTACTATTATATTAGATTCCTGATAAAAATTAAAATTAGTTGAGTTTTGTTTTGACAAAATTTATGGAGAAGCTCTCACACATTCAGCTCTTAATGTAAATGATATCATTAATACCCAAAGTGATGAGCATAGTTTGAAAAAGAAGGGGATTAAACAACAAGATGAAGACTTGAAATATGAGAGTTGTAGGTTTAAAGTGTAATCAAGGAAATCTCTTTTAGATATTTATTTGGAGGAGCTAGAGTTATGGAAAATGAAGACAAATCACATGTGTTGGAATGGTGATAGATGGGTGAATTGAGATATCGTGAGCTTGTAATGTTGGCACGTGATGTTTTATCTATTCCAATCACAATAGTGATTTCAGAGTCTGCGTTCAGTGTTGGGGGAAGAATAGTAGAATTATATTAAACTTCACTTAAGCCAAGAATTGTACAAGAATTGATTTGTTTGCAAGATTGGTTGCAAGCACAAGAACAACCTAATGGTAATTAAATTTGAAATTTTCTTTTCATTAATTTTCTTCATAATACAATGATGTATATTTGATTTAGTTTTTCTACTATAGATATTCTTCAAGAAAGTATTGACAAGTCTTCTAGAAATGATGATGATGGTAGTTCTAAGGAGTAAAGAAGCGTGATAGCAAATCTCAAGTAAGATCATTTATTAGTTTTGAATATATATAAATTATATTTTCTAATTTTATTAGTAATATTTGTAATTTATTAATCATCTTTTAATATCTTACTTTTTTATAGGGGCAAAGATGCAAAAGGAGGAAGAGAACGCAAATAACATGTTTAGAGATTATTATTTTGTGGATTTTTCATCAATTCAAACTTTTAATTTGAAAGATTTCATAATATTTTCAACTTATGAGTTTTTTTAGTAGGAATTGATGGAAATGATTGAAATTTTAACTTTACATGTTTAAATGTGATTATGTGAATTGTGATGTTCTGTTACTTTCCTCTTAACTCTTTGAGTATTGCCTTTAGATAATAAATTTGATGGGTCCACCAAATTTTGGTTATGTTTATATAACAGGTTTTGTTTTATTGAGATATTTGGTAATGAAGTTGCCCATCATTTGGCAATTCTTGAAAGGTGCTTTAGAGAAGGTAAATTCAATTCACATGAAACCATAAATCCTTACTAGCATTCATATTTTTTTCTTGTTTTTTGTTTAATTTTTGTTGGTGCTTTTTCTTTCTTGCTAGGTATTAGTTGTGCTTCATATTCAGGTATACTCATTTCCCTTGTTATATTAATTTCAAAGGAGCAAGTCATGGATGTTTTAAGATCAATCTTGCTTCCAAATTCAAGGTTAGTGTTACTCTATACTTGATTCTCTTTACTCTGAATTCAAAAGTGTTTAAAATACTTATTTGATACTTTAGTGCTTAGGATAATTTAGCTCATTTGCATGTTGCAAATTGTGATATAGAAATTCAATCAAAATAAACTAATAAAACAAGATATTGCATAAATTATTTGGTAGTTGAAAAGAATTGATAATATGATAATGAAATGAAGTCTTTCCAGGATGGACATATAGGAATTGTATCCAAAGAAAACATTATGGAATACCTGTAAAACATTAAGATTATGAGAAAAATCATACTTCTTTAGTTTCCACCATTGTTCAAATGTTCAAACTTCAGAGTTCGACATCATTTAGGCAACAGATGGAGTGGAGGTTTGTATTAATTAGTTCTATTTTGGGGTGGGATCTCAAGTTGTCAATGACACCCAATTGAATGTCTTTCCCATATTGGGTGATTAATTGATTTCATATCAGTTATAACCCGATTGTTTCCTATTTAATTCTTAAATTCTCTTTTCTATTTATCTTCAAAAAAAGAGAAAATGGATTACAACCACATTCTAAGAATCTGAGATTAGTGAAGTCAAAAATCCAAATCCATTAGGCTTGAAAAGCCTAAAAGCCCGACTCAGGCCATGATCAGCCCTAATTTTGATGATGTTCGGACTTGGTTAGGAGTTAGAATATGAAGCAATGACTTAGGAGGATTCGATGGTCATCAGTTGCAACTTAATGTAGTACAACTAGCTCATTACAAAGAAGAACAAGTTGCAACATTTTCAAAAAGAAAGAAGACAATAAGGGAATAACTCTCCTCCACAAAAGATAATATCATATAATTTGACCTAGGGCTTCTTAGAAGAAGGCTCTCCCTTCTTGCATCCTCTCTCTTTCCCATGTTCTCTCTCTTTCCTGTTGCCTTCTCTAGACCTTCGGAGACTTGGAAAATAATATTTAAGGAATTTTCCATTTGTTACACTACGGTGGGAGAATAGTGTTTGACGACTCTTTCTTTTTGTAGTTCTCATCTTGGTATTATTCTCTCTTCAAATTAGGGGCATTTGACAACCAATGCATTTGAAACCCTAGCGTCTTGCCATTGGAATGGAAGAGGAAACCCTTGGTCACTCTATACAAAAGTCGAAATGAGCTTGAGGACCGTTCATTCTGAGATTCGACAAGATAAGGGGGTGTTTTGATTTCTTGGTTTATGAATTGAGATTCAATGCTTGGCTGCAAGAAGAGATAGCTCGTCAGCAGATAAAGGTCTTTTATCTGTCACAATCGGGCTCGCTAAGGAGATGCTTTGTTGTTTCAATCGAAGAGATCTACGGAATGAATCGATGTGTTGAAACAACTGCTAAAGAAGAAGGAAGATGACTGAAGTACCACTAGAAAGACACATAGACCCTACCATGATTAACCAGAATTCATCAATCATCATTGTTCATCTAATAGATCAGCCATGTGATAAGATATGTATAGTATTTAATCCGAGGTTAAAGAAAATTGTGAACCGGTAGTTCAAGTAAAGCCAGGACTTCTAAGAAAAGATGATACAAAAAAAATCAAGCCACTAATTATCAATAGAAAAATAAACAATATCAAGCCACTCAATAATTAACTGACTAAATCAATTTGGTAACCAGCTCTCATTCAAAATCCAAAAGGGTTAATACTTCAGACTTACGCAAGTGTGGAGGAACATAGGATGTAGCTATCCCAACGTCTCCCATGACCAAGAGGATATCAACACATAACAAAGATGCAATAATAACTGTGATGGTGGACTTCATTTTTGTTATTTGAGTATGTAGACACTTAGATGACCCATAGTTGCCTGAGCAACTGCTCTTCCTTGTACTCTAATTTATAATTACACACTACACCATTTAGGAATGGTGACGCACATGGGTGGGTTGCTCTTTCTGGATTGGTGACACCAACCACCCAACTTGAACTAATAAAATTAATTGAATGTGTGTTGAATCCCCAACCATAGAAACTGATCCCTTTCTCCATCCCTTAATGCCCATAGCACCTCACTTTTGGTTATTTTTCTTAATTCTGGTTGGGTGTCAACTCTATATCCTACGTAGAAATAGATGTGTAGAGGCTTACAGAAACTAAGTGGGGTCCCCTCATTGTGCACTTTGTTTTATGGAAACTCAATTCTAAATCTTAAAATGTTCCCCAAGAACTAAAAGCCGAGGTCTGCAACAAAGGTTCTAGATGAGGGTAAAAATTGTTTTAAGGTTTTACATGAGGATTCACTACCACTTGGAAAGTATGTTTTGGGTGAGTTGTTTGTTTTAATTGGTTTTATCTTGTTTAGTTCGTTGTTTGTTCCATCTGGAGTTGAGAGGGTCATTATGGTAGAGATTTTGGACTGCTCTCCAAATCTTGTTTTTTAACTATTTGTTTGGTCCCGTAGTATCTTGGATCACTTTATATCAATTCGGTTATAAGATTTTTTTAGTTATGATAAACACTAACATATGTAGTTCTTGAGTATTGGTTTCCTTTTCCACTGTCTAATAAACATTTTTCTTGGGAAACAAATCCATCCAGTCTAATAACTAATAATAATTATATTGATCACTTCAATGGTCTCATGATAATCGTGCATTAACACACGAGTAAATGCAAAAAGCATAGAGAACCATTTCTTCACCATTGATTCAACATTTCAGAGTAGTTACTGGTTAAGTCAACTTTTAGGTTGTGCTTGTAGTAAGCAATGATAATGCTGACTTGCTTAGTAGAAAACGTCAATGAAATCACGCTTTGGATGATTTGATAGTACAATAAACCTGCACATTTTGAATTTTGAAATCATTCCTTTCACCCCCAGATTTCAACATTCATTCTAGTCAAAATTAATAAGATAGCACAACTGCATAGTTTAGTTATTTTCAAATAACCTTCAAAGCACGCTATTTGAAAACGGTATTCAAAGTCAAATAGTTATTTTCAAACACACTTTTTAGCACAATCTCTTAGAATCATCTAGTTGCAAAATTATATTCCACTATTGTTTCCAAAAACATTGGTCTTCTTTACTTTGCATGATATCGAGTTCATTTAGCCTGAATATTCTGCAAATCACCAATGTGAGGATGAGAATTTGTTGTTCCTTCATCGGTTTGGACGGGAGCACTTGTTGTAGTCATGTCGGATATTGTTAATGGAGGAAAAATAAGGCCAATAGGAAAGAAGAATAAAGGAACACTTCTGGTTACAAATCAACACTGAAGGCCAGAAGAGAAAAACACGAAAAACTGGCAATAAAGGCCGAAAAAAAATCTCAAGGTTGACAAACCTAGAGCTCTGATACCATGCTTTGGAATGGTAGAATACTGATATGTTTCATTCTATTGCCAATTGGCATATTTATACAGTAAGCTGTTGCAATAAATAGAAAGAAAAGAAAATAGAAAGAAGAAAAAAAAGAAAGAAGAGAAAATAGAAAGTACAAAAATAGAAAGAAAGAAATAGAAAGAAAAACTTTCTAAATCAATCATTCCACAATCCTAGGAATATATACAATTCTATTTTCAGATCTAAACCAGTGACCCCACGTTTTCCAACATATTTATATTATATCTTCGAGTTCTTTTTATTACAACCCAAATTGATTCAGTTTCAAATAGGATATTTGATAAGATATTTATATTCGAATTCAAATCATTATATTAAAAATCCGATGGATTCTTATCAGATTCAGAATTGTCAGATTTCTTATCAAATTGGATCGGATACCCTTTATCGAATCTGATCAAATCCATTTGCAGCCCTAGAAAATGCCCCATTTTGTATCGTAAAAACCACAAGTACAAAATTGAGTTAACACAGGATGATTTTGTGTTTAAAAATGGGTTGTGCCCAAATCACTTTTGAAAGAACAAGAGGAAAGTGACAATCAGATGGAAATGTATTAGAGGCCTTTCTGTTTTTTAACTCATCATTGTATTGGAAATTGAAAAAAAAAAAGAAACTTTGCAAATCTTTTTATGACCTGAAGATCTATTCGAGCCAACAAGTAATAATCAGGAGAGGTTTTTATTTGATTATCACTCTTTATGAGGGCTTTTTTGTAGTCTTTATGAGGGATGAAAATGATATCCATTTGTCCAAATTTGAATTTCATCTAGTCAATGGTGCTTCGGATTAAATTTATATATGTATAATTAGATCTAAAAAATGTTTCCAGCCCTATTCATCAATCTTATGATAATATACATACATAATATTTTGATCATTTTTAGAATAATTTATTAATTAATAATTCAATCCTAGCTTTTGTTTGAGTGATGGTTGAGATGGCTAAGGATGCCACGTGGCTAATTTTGCGGTTGCCCCCTCTCAGGCCACGTCGACACCATGCGTAACGAAAGAGCACGACTAAGGAGTGTCCTGCATGGACAAGGAAGTGAATTCCTCTAGGGTGGAGGAAACCTCTCAAAGACCCTGGCAGACACCCTCATCTCAAGAACCC